AATTTGTTTCAGCTACTGTTCTTGCTGAGTCAAGGGACCTGGTCTGTTGACGTATAGTAGATGCTGACTCTGTTCTTACTGTCCATTGACTGTTAATGGGTGCACACAATCCATCACTGAGTATCCCTAGGCTAGGACGGGCTCCACTAAATTAGTCATCCGGCTTGGCCTTCTTGGCGCTACCCCCGTAGGCAGCATGGCTACACTGCTCAAGCGTGCGGGCATGGTCCACAGTTGAGAGACGCCTAATTTTCGAATCCAAGAGTGAGCTACATCTTTCAAGAATCTATGAGTTCTTCTAGTTTTCTTGTCCATCTTTTCAGACACACTAGTTTTAGCTTTATGTTAGTTCTTCCAACCCTAGTTTGACTATTTTAGTGTTTTGATTATGACGACTTACAGTTCGTGGCGATTTATTTACACGTTAAATGTTTTGACTATTGATTGAGTTTATGAGGATTCAAATCTCTAGTTAACCAAACTATTTTATTTTAAGCTAAATTTGTTTTTATTTATAAAGTATTGCGTAATTTGAGTTAGTTTTTTATTCTCTTATCAAGTGATACAGTTTAAGCGTCACACATTACTATCGGATTCGTGACAGAATGTGGTCAAATACTCAAATGTGCTCATTAATAAAGTAGTAGTATTAAGATATAACTATGATTAAATTTACTTGTGCCGTAATCTTTGATTAGCTTATATAGTTTCTTATGATTTTAAGCTGAAATAACTTTACCATTTTTAGTACTTTTGGTGTAAATAAATTTAAGGATATTTTAGTTGTTTTAATAGAAAAAGTGTTTATCGTCAATTTTTTCACCAAATACATTCACCGCTTATTATAATTATTATAAGTGTGTTTGAAGGGAAACATGTATTTTTGGGATAGAAAAATTACTTTTAATAGACCTTTAACTCAACTAAAAGTACTGCATAACAAATCAATAAAAAAAATGAAATTGAAAGAAGCCAAGACAAATTGCTAAAGGAACATTACAATGCATATTTAAAAAGGAACAATAGCTAAGATAAAATAATATGATGCTTGATGTACAAGAAACATTAAATAGTAACACAAATGAAATAACAAGAAATTGAAGAGTAATTCTTAAACAACTAGTATGAAAGAATAGTGAGATAACTCTCAATTACCTAACTAGTCTTTTATCTTAATTATTTTAATCTCATTAATTACATTTTTTTTTCTATCAAGGTCACTCCTACCTTGTCCCGATTATCTTCATTTTTAATATTTTCTTTTCTAATATACCTACACATCAAGCTTATCATTACCATTTCCGTAACTTTCATTTTCTAAACATAAGAATTCTTGACTAGTAACATTTTGCTCAATACACAACATAGTCAGTGGAACCACTATTCTATATAACTTGCCTTTAGTGACACTTTATTACATCAGACTCCAAATGTGTGTCCTCATTTTGTCCACGCTTCTCCAATATGGTGTGTAATATCATCATCAACTTCTTAGATACTTTAGATAATAAATTCAAGATACTTAAAACTTCCTTTCGTATTGATAACTTGTGCATCAAGCCTTCCTTCTCACTCAACTTGCAATAAGTATATTGGCTTGGTCTTGTTTAATTGCCTTAAGATTTACTTCAAGGTTTGTCTTCAAACCTCAAACTTAGTGTTAACTCTATTCCAATTTGATCGATTAATACTATGTCATATACAGATAATATACACCATAACACCTCATTTTCAATTCATGTGTCATCCATTTATCATTAAGGCAAATAAAATAGACTAAGAATTGATCCTTGGTACAACCTCTTCACAACTCGAAAGTGCTCTCAGTCCTTATTAATTGTCCTTATCCAGGTCTTAGCTCCATCGTAGATGTCCATAATAGCCCAGGTTTATGCCATACGAAAGGAGCATTTCTGTAGAACCTATTTTTTGAACTTATATCATAAGCCTATTCTAGATCAATAAACATGTGAAGTCTTTCTTCTTCTACTCTTTGTATTGCTCCATTAGTTTAGTACCTCAGTTGATTGGCTTATATAGTTAAACACCCCTGACACAAATTCAAACTAAAATATACATATGCTTCCTCACCTTTGTTTCCACGATTCTCTCTCAACTCTTTATAATGTAACTTAAATAGCAGCTTGATAACTCTACATAGTTATTGTAATTCTGAATGTCACCCTTACTCTTGCATTACAAAACCATCATACTCCACCCTCATTCTTCTTCTAACATATTGGGCATCTTAAAACGACTGACTAGAATTACTATTATAACTATCAATTTTAGTATTTTTTACCCAAACACGTAACAACTTGTTAAGAAGTCTACATCAGTAGAGGGATGAGAAATTAGTCGCCTTATTTGAATTTGAATCAACCTCTCTCATGAGCTTATCTTTTGGGTTGAATGAGGTTCAAGTGTCATATCTTTATATGGTATCAGACTTAGCCTATCCCAAATTGCTATTCACCGATGTTGGGCTCCCATTTAGAATTGTTCATGCTCCCGTTGAGGTCTGAGCATGCAGGAGAGTGTTAAGAAGTCTCACATCAGTAGTATAGAGATGAAAAATTGATCTCCTTATATGGACTTGGATAAACCTCTCTCGTGAGCTAACTTTTAGAATAAAGTTAGGCTCAAATGTCATACTTTTATACTACTTATAAATTCAATTTCGACAATCGAAATTGTTTTCAACACTTAACAAATACTCCCTTATTATTAAGTTTTTCTTTCACGACATATATATCTTATTTTGAATTTGAAAGTTCTATTAGAAGCATTTTATCACAAGAATATCTATGTGTGGATTGTATATTAATAAATAAATAAATAAATAAATAATATTGACTGTATAACAACCTTAGGAGAGAATCTAGATTAACCAAAAAAGAAATAAATAAAACTTGAGGTTTATAGCTGTCCATATACTAAAATCATTATTCCTCTCCAACCTAAATTTCCCTTTGCATTATTTACATAACAAAATGACAAAAATCACATGCCTCTCCCCTTATTATTCCACATCTCAAAAAAGAAGAGGAGAAAACACCCTTTTAAATCCTTATATATTTACTCCAATCCCACTTTTCTCTCTCTTTATCAAAAATCTCCTTTAATTTTCTCCTCCTTTCCCTAACCCCTACCCCAAAAAATGGCGAAAGTGAAATCTCTCTCTATTTTCTTCATCTCATCCATTTTCTCCGTCGTTATTGTAGCGCTTTTATCTCCGGCCGCCGCTGGTTCCGCGGCGGCAGTAGCTGCTACTGGGTCCCACCAGCTGAGTTACTTTCCGATGACATTATCTTCTTCTTCTTCACCGATCTGCGACGGTTCGATCGGGGACTGTTTGGCTGAAGAAGACGAGAATGAGTTCGGGATGGAATCGGAGAGCAGCCGGCGCATGTTAGCATACCGCCGGAGATACATTAGCTACGGCGCGCTTAGTAGTAACAGAGTGCCGTGTTCAAGGAGAGGAGCTTCGTACTACAATTGCCGTCCCGGAGCTCAGGCGAATCCTTATCAACGTGGATGCAGTGCCATCACGCGCTGCCGTCATTGAAAACCCTCTACACAGTAAATTCCTTGATTTACTGTATTTACATTTTTTTTTTACCAGAGTGGTAAAAAAGTTAAAAAATTCTTTTTGAGCTTTGTGTGATCTATTTACTACTATCATTATTATCCAGTATGGTTACTTATTATTAATGTATTTGTGAATTGTGGTAGAGAAGTAGCTTTTTGTGTGATGATGTTGTAATAGTATTTAATTTATCATGTCACTCACTATAATCTTTACTATTTATTTGAAATAAATGATGTTTTAGCACTTGTTGAGGAATTTTTTTTAATTGTTTCGGTGGGATAATAATTAAGTTGTGGTTATTTGTTTTGGCAATTTTTCATAATATTGTCTATTTGAGATTAAGTTGGAATAGCAAATCAATTGTTTGATAAATATTAATGTGCAAATATGTAGATATATTTGATATTATTCTATGTATGATATGATTTTTTTTTTTTGATAGGTTGAACGTTTAATTAGAATAACCTTAAGTTTAGATGCGTAAACGAAATGTTTATGTCAATTTTAAATGTTTGTCAATAAGTTTAGCATCGAATTTATGATATAAATAATAGCTCTGCCGTTTCTATTTATTTCTCTAATAAATAGCCTAGTTATCTATTGTTAGTTACTCCATTTCTATTTACACGTCTTTATGTAACTTAATATTTGTTATTATTTTTCAAAATGAATATATAAATAATATTATTTTTTTATTTTGCTCTGAGAATTATTAGCTTTGAAAAGTATCCATTAGAATGGTAAAGTTACTAGCTACTCTTAATTTATGGAGTCTCAGTAGCTGGTTAGGGTTGTGTAATATTGTAATTAGTTGTGAATGAATTATGTATTATTTATTAATTTTCTTTCTATGATCAGACGTACTTATGCAAAAATTATAACGCATTTCTTATTCATCTACCACAAGGCTCCTAAAAGGAGTTTGTATGTTCATTTTATTTACATTTTGATGAGGGGTTTATATGAAATTTTTTTATCTATATCGAGTGTTTATATCAAACTAATGCAATTTTCATTATTACATGATTTAATAAAATAAAACAAATATTAATTAATGATGATTAAATAAAATAAATTACATATTTAAATAAATAAGCATGTTAGCTTGGTGTATACATATCGTACAGATAAGTTTTACCCTTTATATAATACCCATGACTAAATACACTCTAGAAATAACTAGAGCACAATTGTGAATTTTACTTTACCGGAAGAAGGGAGAAATAGATTTATTTGGATCCCAATAATTCAAAGGGGACATAAATGATGAAAATGTGGAATATAGCACATCTACGCATAGACATGCATTTAATATCTGAATGTGTGCACCACATTAATAAGAGAAGAAAAAGAGGGGAAAAAAAGATTTGTGTGTGTTGGGACAGGTGTTATAATCAAAATTCAAACCTCACGAGTAAACTCACTTTACTTTTTACTCATTCATAGACAAGACAATACACAAGTGAATCCTGTCATTATCTTCTTTTCCATACACTAGTTCATTCACAACTGTGATCCAACCAATTTCCCTTCATTCTTTTTATGCCCACTTCCTTTTCATACAATTCGCAAATATTTTCTTCTTTTTTTACTTTTTGAACAAGGATAAGATGTATTTCTAAAATCTCAGAAAAATAACCCTTTGTTACACACCCTTTAAATGTATCATATGATTTATATCTAAAACAAAGCTAATGTTACTGTTAAATTGATAATCGCATCGATGACCAATAGCAGATGTCATAGCACACAACCAAGAAAAGGATAACACTCTTTTTTAAAGATAAACAGTCGTAACAAACACCACATAAACCACCTGGATGCATCGTCTTAGGCAGAATCATCAGCAGATTTTGTGTCATCCTTTGACTTCAGTGCGGCCGAAGGTGATGAAGAACCTTCTTGGCCCATTTCAATTCTCAAATCATTGATGCTCTGCTCCAATTCATCAATTCGGTTTCCCATATCATCTAGTGCAGCATTGTCAAGGACTCCAAATTGATCTCACAAAACAAAGACAGATACTTTGTATGATATGACATGCTATATACAACCTACTTCATTTATTAGATGACACTGATGCACCCACTAATTAAACTAGATTAAGACCAATGATTAGTTACTTAGATAACAAGGAATAACAGATCAGAAAAGGATATTTTTTGAGATGATTGATTCAGACATAGTCTGAAACCTGGTTTGCTGCAAAGAGAGAACAAACCATTTTAGAAGATATATCAAATAAAAACTAATTAAGGACCCTAGTAGTGCAGAGAGATAGACTCACCATTTGTTGAAGCAAATTCTGTACCTGCAAGAGCAGAAAGGAAGTAGGAAAAGTTAGCAAGAAAAATAGATGTGTTTATTTGTGATGTCATACACAACATCGCACTGGCGAATAACACTAAGCTGTTTATAAGGCCAATAAAGGAAGAACTAGCACACAACCAAATGTATCATGTGTCAGCCACCAAGAATCGTATCACAATTGGTTTTGATGACATTGTCCTAACATCATAAAGCCACATTTAAATTTTAATTTAGACAGATTATAAGTGGCCTGGTTAGCATGTTAAGATTACATTTAATGATGAATATATCACAATGAAAACTAATGACTCCTTGGATCCAACTTTTAAGACTCAAACTTCAGTACCAGAGAGGTTAGCAGATTGATATGGATAATAAACCTTTCCAGATTATCATTGAGTATCGACTAAGGTAAAACCTCAATCTATAACCTACAAAATTAACAACAACGCCTCAATCCCATCCAAGTTGGGATTGACTATGTGAATCCCCACCGTCCATGTCACTACATTTAAGCTTTCTCAGACCAATATTATGTAAAATAAAAATAAAAGGCGCCAGAGTTCTCAATATTTTCTACTCGTATATAAAAAATCTCCAAGACAGGAAAATCCAGTGTTTAACATCAATCAATAAATCCATATAGTTATAAACTTACAAATACAGTCATATCAGCGGTGCTTTGCTTTGTGTTATCTGCATCATGTCCATCCTGCAAGAAGATTCAATTCTTATGGGTCAAAAGGGAGCTAAGCTAAGAAGCTTATGAAGCAAAAGAAAAGTAGAAATGTATGTAACTGATCTTCCAAACCTCCATATTACAAATTCTGTTTAAAATCCAAATATCTGTTACTGTACTATTTATCTTATTTTCCAGAAAAACTAGCTTTCAGCTAGAAGAACAGAACCAGAAGTTCTCAGAGCACAATAATCCTAAACCTCTGCCCTCTCTTAATCAATTATATTTCTGATCAATGTTTGACAGACAAAGATGTAAACTAACGAATTAGTGAATATAATTTCCCACAGATAATGCTGCTGAATACAGATACTAAGAAGTTTAATTGGAGTCTAGGTATTGTCTTATACCTAACAAAAATGCTAAGGAGAAAACCACGTTTTGAGATGTATGTTTCTAAAATTATTTTTGCACAGACCTAGTACATTAATGATGTTAATACAAAAGTTACTGTGGACATCCTTCCATATGTAAATCAAACTTTGACTATAGTGGCTCTTAACAAAGCATGTTGTTGACGCCAATTGGTGTTCTATTGAGTTAATAGTCGCTGCCATTTTCTAAGTTAGTGCTTCGACTCAACTGATTGTAGATCAACTTAAGTGCCAAGAAAGTTTACCACGATAGTTGTTTCAAAGTACACAAAGCCCGAGCTTATTAGTAAAATCATATAAATCCAAGTTTAATCAGTCAAGAATGCAAAGTAACACAGTTTAGCCTCCAAACTATGTGTTATCACCACAACAAAGGTGCAGTTTTATGTGAGTTGTTATGTAATATCTAGTCAAAAGAGTGTTGAGTAAGTAGGTGGAGTTTGTTTAAAAGTTGTTATTAGGGGTGTCAAACAATCCCAAATATAGGCAACTCACCCAAAGAACATAGAGTGAATCCTATCACATGCATATGAATCTTCATACATTGTGCTGATTCAGCTCTATTTTACATACTAAAACAAAAGCAAATATCCATATCTCCAACTTCAAAAGAAGCTATCATATCCCTCTCCCTCAATGTATTCTTAAACCTTCCTCTTATACAGACTCCCACCTAACAAACATCACAGAAGTGCTCTCTTATTTGCTTAAACAAAGCAATACATGCGCCACATTTTATGCGCCGTTACTAAAACATTGTTCTAACTTATTTTGCTACCATATAATCCAACAGATCAAAGATATAAAACATTTAATAACACTTCAATTCATCTCCCAACCCTATGTTCTTATAAGAACCTCATTCTACTTCATTTAAACATACTGAAACTGTTTCAGTACGTTATACCACTACCTTATTTGTCATGAATATCCAATTCGTGACAAAAATTAGACAGTTTCACACTCGTACTCCATCCATCCCTCGTCCTTGTTTTCTAAATTTGCGACTAGATTAATACTTCAAAATAATTGATCACAAGCACGATTTGAGTCTCAAATGTCAAAAAGGTGAACAAAATACAACAAATCAGCAGCTAAACAGTGAAACTTTACCTTATGTTGTGCGATAAAGTATATATAGATCGCGATGCGAAATGTAAAAACAGGAAATCAGGAATTCGATAGGAATAAAGGACCTAAATCTGAAGAAAATGAGGTAGGAATTTACTTAACATTCTGCTTCTGGAAAAAATTGAGAGCGATAGAGAGATGAATCCTTACCATTTGTTCGTCGGCGAGAGAAGCTTCAGGTTAATCGGCGCAGAGAGAATAGAGAAGAGATTGTGAGCACAAAAATGGCGAGGGTTCAAAATTTGAAACAAATATATTTGAAATTTGATATAACCAAAAACTGGGCCCCCAAACCAATTATGCTTTCATGTGTAAGAAAAAAAAGGGAGATTTTTTTATTAAGGGATCCAATTATTAAAATATCTAAAAACTCAAATTATGCTTTCATGTGTAAGAAAGGAACTAATAATCTAAGCTCTTTTTATTTATTTATTTAAAAAAAGAGAGTTTATTTTTCTATTGGGATAGGCAAGCGGAGGAAGAACTAGACGTATTTTGCTAGGCAAAGATAAGTTAAAATGAATAGCTTGTAGGTGAAATTGACGGGATAGATCAAGTATCCCTTCTTCTACTTGAGTGGCGACATAGCGTTTTTTTATCTTATTCGTATTCTAAGAAATTCTATAAAACTTTTTCATATTGCGTTGGTGTTTTAAAATATTGGACTATTCCCTATCGAGACATTCTTTTTAGAAAAAATTATGAAACTAGTCAAAATTACAACTTATTTATGAAAACTAATTATAATTTTAAAATTTTTAGAGTTTAACTACTATGCACAGACGGTGGACAAGAGATTTACACTGGTACCTCATTTTTAGAAATACTTAACTTTTTTAATATGTTCAAATATTATTTATATTAAATAAAAATAATAAAAGAGTGTTATATAGTAACTAGGACTCTAAATTAATTATACAAATTTGTTTAAACTTCTTACTTCTCTTGCCAAAATTAAAAAATTAGCTTTCTTTTTTCTCGCATATTTTTTTTCATAACTTATTAAGTCTTTCTCGCAACATGAAAAAGTGTTTATATAGGTATTTTCATTGCTTCAAGCTTAGAAGCTTAGTTTTCTCTTCTCATTCAATCAACAACACAACAAACAAATTAATTGAAACAGACTTTTATTCATATATCACTATATGTGCTTCAATTTAAAGTTAATATATCAAAACAAATTAAATATATTTCAAACAAAATTTCTTATTTCAATGTATGAAGAATTTTATGTTTTGTGGTGACAAGGATTAATAAAGAATACGTTTTAGAACTTTCCAGCAAACTGGAAAAGTTCAATACATTAGCCGTGGAAAAAATTTTAAACTTTTAAGCTAACTTAATTACCCTATCAGTTTAATATCTAATAATTGTATTGCAGGACACTTTTAAAATCTCTAATTTAGAAGAGCAAAATGCAGAAGGAATTGAAGAATTGTTGGAGGATATAGAAAGTAACATGAATGTTGTTGTACCTTTTATTCCTCAATCAGGTGATCAAGAATTAAGAGAGCCTTACATCGGTATAGAATTTCAATCATTTGATATGAGTTTTAAATTTTATCTTGGTTATGCTCATCATAATGATTTTAGTGTGCGTAAAAATCGAATTAGTAGATCAAGAAAAGATAAATAAATTATTGGTCAAGAGTTCATTTATTCAAAAGAAGGATTTCGTTCAAAAAAAATCTTGAAAATAATAAGCAAAGAGATGAGATTAGAGAAGGGTGCAAAGTAATGATATATATGTCAAAGAAAGAGGACGAAGAGTGGGTTATAGCTAGACTTGTCTCAAATAATATTCATGAACTTGCTTCTCTCAATAGTCAAAAATTCTTGCGATCAAAAAAAAAATCAGAGGCTCAGAAGAATCTTATTGATCTCTTAAAGAATTTGGTATTCGTCCGAATAAAATTGCATTAGTTAGGCTGGAGATGTAGAGAATCTCAATCTAACTGGACAAGATATATAGAATTATTTGAACACTAAAAGGCAAAATTGTCTTTAGAAAGGAGATGCACAATTAATGTTGAAATACTTTCAAAAGCGACAATCTGATAGCCCCGAATTCTTTTATGCAATACACATAGATGTAGAGGGTCATTTAGCTAATTATTTTTGGGTGGATGCTAGGTCTAGAATAGCTTACAATAATTTTGGAGATGTCATCCTATTTTATCCTAAATACTTGACAAACAAATATAAGATGTCTTTTGTTCCATTTATTGGAGTTAATAACCATCACCAATCTATTTTATTTGGATGTGCTCTTCTTTGGGATGAAACAGAAGAAACTTTTCAGTGGTTACTTCACACTTGGCAAGAAGTGATGTTTGGTATTTTCCCTCGTACAATAATCACATATCAAGATGCTGCAATAACAAATGTAGTTGCTAAGGTGCTCCCAAATAGTGTGCACCATTTTTGTATGTGGCACATTGAGAAGAAGATTCCTGAATATCTAAGTCATGTTTTTCACGAATTTGATGATTCTAAAAGTGAGTTTAGTAAGTGTTTACACTGTACAGCGACTCTCGAGAAATTTGAAACTGCTTGGATTGATATCATAAAAATATACAATTTAGAAGAACATAACTGGTTGCATAGGATATATGCAAATCGCAAGAAATGGATTCCAGCATATGTGCGAACTACTTTTTGTGCTGTAATGTCAACAACTCAAAATGTATAAATAAATAATTTAAAGATTATCTTAACTCTAGTACACCAATGAGTGTATTTGTGACACAATATGATAAATTAAGATGTTGACGCTACGTATGACTAAGTAAGGGAAAAGGATTATAAGACAAATCATTCAAAGACTATATTGAAAACATTATATCCAATGGAGGATGAAGCAGCCAAAATATATACCAGAAAAGTATTTCAAAAATTTCAAGAGGAGTTGATTCAATCTCAAAAATTTATTTCAAAAAAAATTGAGGTTGAGGATGGCATACATATTTACAAAGTGCATTTGTTTCAAAGACAAACACCGGCATATATTGTTAGATTGAATCTTGAATTGAAAAATGCTACTTGTTCTTGTCATAAGTTTGAGTTCATGGAAATATTATGTAGACATGTGCTTATGATATTTATAAAGAAACATATTACTCACTTCCACCATGTTATTTATTGGATTGATGGACAAGGTATGCAATCACAGAAAAAATTAATGACATTTCAAGTGTAAGATCATTTGTGGATAATCTGAAGTCTTCCACACCATATGGTTTAATAACATTATGATGCATTCTCGTAGGCTTTCTTAACAAGCTACTCGATCAGAAAAACATTATAAAATATACATATCAAAGATTGTTGTAGCTACGTAAAGAACTAGATGAACTTCTGTATGAGGAAGTGAATGATAATGTATGTGATGATCAAGTTAACGAGTTAAATATGAACTTGAACTCAAGTAAACATAGGGAAAATTTTAGTTTGCTTGACCCTCCATGTGTGGTTACTAAAGGACGTCCTCATTCTTTGAGAATGAAAAGGTGTTTTAGAAAGTTCTCAGAAGGTTAAAAGAAACTCTTCGCAGAAATCAAAAAGGGAAATCAAAATAATAAAAAAGGGCGATGGAGTAAGGTAATTTTATAGTTCGATGTTTAATTCTCAATCTACTTCAATAAATTTAGAATTTTGAGGCGTATTCATTGACTAAATCACATGTTTCAATTATTTGCTTAATTTGCAGTTCACATACTAATGTCGAAGAGAAATTCAGTAGCAGTGAAACATTCTTTAATGCAGATCCTACAATGGTAAGCGTTTAATTTGATAAATTATATCAATTTTGACTAAAACTTATTCTTTATGCATCATTCTCTTTTTAGCTACAAATTCTTCTTTTATTTAATCATTTCTATTTTAAGGAATTCTCAGCATATTCGGAACCTTTTCAAAGGCAAAGTGGCCGTGTTGATTCATATCCCACCTCATTTATGGTGGATTTGCTTTACTGAATCTGTATGTATTTTAAATTTATTTGTCGCATATATGCATTTCTAAATGATAACAAAGAGGTCTCTAATCTACTGGTTGACTTGGAGTTTGTAGAGTTTTACACTATAAACGATGTCTGGAGAGACAGTTATTCAAAGTTTTGTTTTGTTTTACTTTTGGTAGAATATAATCCAGAGGTTGTTTATAGCATAATATTTTGTTTAAGATTTTTTAGTTTACACATAGTAAACTCAGATTTTTAGCTTTATTTTTTTGCTGATTATGTTTTTATTCATAGTGAATTAGTTACTCTTTTATGCCTTCATATATATTTGTTGACAATGATTTTCTCAAAAGGGGTTGAGATAACTCTCACAATTAATATATTTTTACGGAGATTATTGCAACCTCCGTAATTAAACCTCCGCAAAATTAGCTTTTTCTTGTAGTGGATGATGAAAACTTCTGCAAACATTGGAAGGAGATGAATGGATACGTGCATAATTGATACTGAACATATATATATGAATTATATCTCTTTTTTCATGAATATATCGATGCATATTTGATATCAAATACAATAAATCTTAATAAATTTATATAGGTGAAACTTTTAAATATTATTATTATATAGAGATATTATTTAATCTATAAATTAATATTATTAATTTAAAAAATATTTTGAGATTCAACGAAGATTAATTTGATTACATCAAAAATAATTATATCTTACTAATTTATGTATCATATTTATTGAATTCACATAAAAATAAATATAATATACATAATGTACAATAAATACATCAAAATCATTGTATCATACTAAATTATATATCATAATTAATCATTGTATCATATTACATTATATATCATACTTATTGAATTCACACACACAAAATAAAGTAATTATACATAAAGTACAATGTGTGTATAATTTATTGTAATTTATTATACTTTTGTTAAATTATCCGTTGACGAGATTAATGTTTTGGATGTTGTCAATTTTGCAATGACGGCTTGGACAAATGTTAAATAAGAGACAATAGCAAATACTTTTGGACACTGCAAATTTTGTTTGGGAGATGAAATCTCAGAGAAATTTGAATGAACCGCTTGTGAAAATGTCATTTCTGAAGTTGAGGTCATGATTAATAATCTTGATTGCCACAATAAAATGAACTTCAATAACATGTTAGTTTACTTGGGTGAAAATGATACATGTTCAGGATAAAAATAATATATGTTCAAGATTCACCGAAAAAAATGTCAACAATGAAATTAAAGATGAAACAATTCCTTTTGAACAAATTATATATGCGAAAGAACTTATTGCATCTAAAAATCTTCTTTTTATGTATGTATCTATAGATATATTGGATATATCAATGCATCTTTAATATCAAATACATATATTTATGCATATACACCGTAGTACATATTTTTCTTTTCTTATATTCCAAATACAAGAATATAAACAAGAATCAA